AGCAAAACGCACCGCGCAACCGGCCGGGCCTGGCCGGCGGGCCCGCCGCCGCCTCCGGCCCCCGCGGCCTGCGGGGCCTGGGTGAGGCCTAAGCCGGGGCCTCGCCCAGGAGCCCGGGCCGGCCCAGGGGAGCCAGGGCCCGGCTCCCCCGCTGGAGGAGCACCACTGGTCCAGGGGGCTGCCGGCTCAACTGCCCGTGAGCTCCCAGAGGAGGACGGCGCTGTGGGAGGCCGTGAGGAGGCAGCGGCCGGAGGGGGCGAAGCGGCAGAGGTGGACGACGTCGTCATGGCCGGCGTAGTCCTGTGCCTCACCCGTGGGGCAGCGCAGCAGCCTCAGGAGCCGTTCTGTGGGGAGAGGACAGGGCTCAGTGCTGGGAAAAAGGGGGGGTTTACCCCCCATGGGGCTTGTCCCTGCCAGGAGCAGCGTTCCCAGCCACCTCCCGGCCCCTTTTGGCCCTGCTGTGTCAATACGACAGGAGACAGCTTCTTGCCCAAGCGAGCAGGCAATTAATGTCTGGTAACGAGGAGAGAGCGGGAATGTGGCAGCTCCATGCTGTGTGTCCAGCTGTCACACTACAGCAATGGATGCAGCACCACATGTTTGTGCAGCTCTGCTGTCACACAGCCCCTGCTGAGCACAGGGCCACGCGCTTCAGGGTGTCCTGCAGCTCTGGGGCAGGCACGGAGCTCATCCTGCTCTGGGAGCCACCGTCAGAGCGGGATGGACATAATTCTGCTTCCTCAGGCAGATAGAAGCAGCTACAGGAGCAAAGTGCTTCTGACACGGGGAGGGTGCTGACCCTCCCTGTGCTGGGGGAAGGTCTCTCGTGCCTCCTGGGCTGTAGCTCACACAGCCACAGAGCTGTTCGCTCATAAACGGAGATGAAGACAGCCCATAACCCCAAGGAGTCATTCGAGTGACAAATCCTGCTCGTTGACAAACATGACTGAGCTCATGCATCTCGTTTCTGACCTATGAGTCTCCCATAGCTTTCTCCTTGCCTGACACATAGCCTGCGTGGGAGCAGGATCCTCACAGTCCCAAAACCATAGCTCCCCAGGGTCTGAGGGCACAGGCTGGTGTGTGTGCGTGTCCGTCTTGTTTAAAGGAAAAAAAAAAGACATTTGGTTTCCCCCTGATTCAGAGGAAGAAGGCGAGATCCCTCCCCACTAAAGGTAACCTGGGGACAAGGCAGCCTGGGCAGCGGAGCCTCTGGTACTCACCGCCAAAGCCGACAGCCATGAAGTGTGCAGCAGGAGACAGGCTCAGGGATGTGGCGAAGTAGGGCAAGGAGATCTTCTGAACCACCTGCGCTCCAGCAAGAGAAACACCACCACCACCTCAGAAACGAGCAGGCAGGAGACCAGAGCTGCTGCAGTGACTGTCATCAGGAGGCTAAAGGGCTCCTCTCAAAGAGGAGGCTGACAGATGCACAGCACCTCTCAGAGCTCGGAAACCTGCCAAAGGCACGGACTTTCCAGAGGAGACTCAACTCAAAAAGATTTAGAGATCGTTAGCGCTCCCGAAAGCCACCGCCTTCCCCTCCAGTGGGATGGAAAGGCAGCAGGAGGGACTGGCAGCCTGCCCAGACGCAACCGGAGGCAGGGGCAGGGCCCTGCCGCTCAGAAACTCCCGACTTTCTGAGATGAAAAGCTGTTGCCCCGAGCAGCGGCTTGTCTGAGCCCACCCCACGCCGTCAGACCTGGCTTTACGCGTGGGGCGATGCAGTCTCCCCACCACTGCACCTTGTTCCACGTGCCCACAGCCCCACAGCGGCAGAGGAGCGCCCGTGTCACCCCAGCAGTACCTGTTTCTTGTGCAGATTGTAAAACAAAGCTTCCTTCTGCATCCCGAAGCCGACGTAGACCAGGGTGCTGGGTTCCCAAGGGCAGAAGGCGGCCAGGCTGGGCGGGAGGCCACCGAGACCCTGGTGGTGGAAACCGAAGGGAACAACATCGAGGTTAGCTTCTCCAGCCCGACCCAACACAGTGGGGACAGAAGGAGAGCACGGAGGGACACCAGCCCTTGGGCTGTGAGCATTGGACTAGCGGGAAATTAGTACAATTGAGGCTGTCTCCTCCCTCTGGCATTGCCATCTCAGACACTCACAGCAAAGAAGCAGGGAGCAACCCCACACTGCCATGGAAACCTGAAGCAAACTGTTGACTGTCACAGGAGGGGGAGACATGAGGGTCCAACAGGCTGAATTTCCGCTGAGGCGTTATTGCTACATGGGCTTGAAGGTGGGATTGGGTTGTGGATGGGTTTAACACAAGAAAATAGGCCCCAGAAGATAGATCTTTAGCAATGGATGCAAGATGAACCCTTCCCCTGTTCACTGTGGGGAAGCCCGTAGTGACTTTCCTTCCTGGAGAGGAAATCCATCATTTTGGGAATAAACAGAAGAAACATTGACAGGACCCAACTGCTGTGTGGGCCCGGATGGTGTTTGGCCCTGAGGGTGGCAGGTTGAGGCATCTCTGCTTGCCCCCCCAAAAAAGACCCAGCTCCCTTCTGCATGCCAAAGTCATGTGCACTGGGGACCATCCCCATGTCCTCTCCGACACAGACCCTCCTCCCTTTCTAGCAGGTGTCCTGCTGCCCAAATCCCACTCCTGGGTGGGAGCCCAAGCGCTCTGCAAGGCATCACAGACACACAGGCCTCGAGTCCTTGGCTCTGTGAACCCCACACTGAATATTCACCCCCAGTGAATATTCACGCTCTGAATATTCATGCTCTTTGGGGGTGTCAAAGTTAGCAGCACGCTCCTCGTCAGGTCTCTCTTCTGTGCCCTGCGCTCGCTGCTGCCTGTGCTCTGTTTTGCGTGGCGCGGGGCTGTCAGCTCTTTGCAGATGCAGTTTTTGACTCCTCACGCTCACAAAGTCAGTGCTTCCCGGCGGTTCATGCTGCTGCAGCTCCTGCTGCCTTTCGACATGCAAGAACGCGCGCTAACAAGATGCTCTTTGAGCAGCAGAACTAAGGAAGATGACTTTCCTGTAGCTCCATCCCGCTCGGAGCCTTGAGACATCCCTCCTTTGGCTCTGCTGGTGCCAAGCCCCATGCCATGAGTGGGCAGGGGCCAGGCAAGTGCCACACTCACCTCGGGGCTGGCAGGAGCTGGGAAACTGAGCCAGTCGAGGAGCTCACACTTATCCTTCAGCCAGTCCGAGGCCCAGATGCTGACCCGCCGGTCCAAGCTGGTGGCCAGCCAGAGCTCACCTCCTTCCACCCCAAAGTCACGGTACTGCAGAAGATAAAAATCAACGCTGCGACTCCTGGCAGCACAGAGGCTTCCAAGGAAATAACCCCAGGCAATGCTAAAGGCTTGGGGAAGCGTGGCTGGAGCTGCCCAGCAGAAAAGGAGCTGGGGGTGTTGGTGGACAGCCGGCTGAACGTGAGGCAGCAGTGTGCCCAGGTGGCCAAGAAGGTCAACAGCATCCTGGCCTGGGTCAGGACCAGTGTGGCCAGCAGGAGCAGGGCAGTGATGGTGGCTCTGGACTGGGCACTGGTGAGGCCTCACCTCGAGGGCTGGGTTCAGTTCTGGGCCCCTCACTACAGAAAGGACATGGAACTGCTGGAGTGTGTCCAGAGGAGAGCCACCAAGCTGGGGAGGGGTCTGGAGAACAAGTCACATGAGGAGAGGCTGAGGGAACTGGGCATGTTGAGTTTGGAGAAGAGGAGGCTGAGGGGAGACCTCATTGCCCTCTACACCTCCCTGAAAGGAGGGTGGAGAGAAGTGGGGGTTGGCCTCTTCTCCCAAGGGAATAATGACAGGAGCAGAGGAAATGGTCTGAAATTGGGGTAGGGGAGGTTGAGATGAGATATTAGGAAGAATGACTTTCCTGAGAAGGTGGTCAGGCACTGCAACAGCCTGCCCAGGGAGGTGGTGGAGTCACCATCCCTGGAGGTATTTAAGACATGCGTAGATGTGGCACTTCAGGGCATGCTCTAGTGCCTGAGATTGTTGGTTTGTGTCCGTTTGTGAGTTGGTGTGGTGTGGTTTTGGTTTTGGTTTTTTTTGTTTGTGGTTGGACTTGATGATCTCAAAGGTCCCTTCCAACCATGAATATTCTATGATTCTGTGTTGCTAGAGCTCGTGGGAACACAGGCCTCATGCGGTAGGGGATCAACGCCAGGATTGACCTCCATTTGGGCAGTGCTTAAAGTCGCTTAGAATAAAATAGGACAAGGAAGCCGTGGCATCGGAACCGTCGGGACGCTCTGGGCTGAAAGCACCAGCAGAAGAGGCTGCTGGAGGAGGGGTGAGAGCCTGGTTGGAACAACACAGATCTCTTCCCCTGAACGCCCTCCAGACCTGCGTATCTCCTAGGGGAGTGCTTGCAGATCACATGTGTCCCCTAACAAAGTCCTTCACCTAAAAGAGCAGAGGATCTCCTAAGTCTAGGATTACCAGGGAACACAGCCTTGCAGCATGGATGATTTTAAAGCCTGAGAATTTAGGCTAAATTATTTTCATTTCTGCTGCGTGAAGGAAAAAGACTGTCCATGAAGAGAAGGACAAAGGAGATGCTGAAACCATCACGCTGCTGCACAACCACATCTTCCCAGCTCCACAGAGGAGGCCAAGCTTCCAAGGGGAGACGTGGGGAAAGCTCACTGAGCCCTTTTTTGGGGGCACAGGGGCTGAAAAGCTCACAGCCCAGGCTGCTTTCAAGGGGTGTTGCTCTCCGAGAGCACGGGGGGCAGACACACATCATGCCTGCGTGCAGCCTGTCTACAACAGCCACCAAAGTTCCCCCCACCCACAGGCACTTCTCCCACTGAAGACATCCCTGGAAAAAACTAAAGAGAAGTTACTGGAGGGGATGGGGGCCCGAAAAAGAAAGGTGAGGCACAATGAATCCAACCCGCTGAGCGACCCGACAACACCTCTGTGGTGACACACGGGGAACTTGCTCTTGCAGAGCACCAGGGCAGAGGGTGAGGTCTCACCTGCTTCCTGGTGCACTGGAGGACAGTGATGGGGGAGCCTTTGTGCTCGGCGAGGACGTGGATAGTCATTCCAGTGTGAGGGCTGCTGACAGCCACGAGCCCGTCCTTGCCCCCCGACAGGATCATTTCTCCTGTGGGCAGAGGGGAGAAAAGAATGGGACGCTTCTTGTAGGAGAAGGAAAAAAGCCATAGGAGAAAGATCTGAGATCGTGGGATAGCGGTGTCCCAAAACACTGTGAAAAGCTGGGAATATCCGAGTCAAAGGCTGGGTAAGGTGAGAAGGCTCAGAGACACCCACTGAAACACCACACTGAAAAAAAGCTGCTGCAGATCATAAGCAGGAGGACACAAAGGCATGTTTGTTGCACCCAAATCCCTTTGCTATACCATTGCCAATATATCATAGAATCACAGAATGGTTAGAGCTGGAAGGAACCTTAAAGCCCCCCCAGTGCCACCCCCTGCCCTGGGCAGGGACACCTCCCACCACACCACGTTGCTCAAAGCCCCCTCCAACCTGCCCTTGAACCCCTCCAGGGATGGGGCAGCCACAGCTTCTCGGGGCAACCTGGGCCAGGCTCTCACCACCCTCACAGCAAGGAATTTCTATTATCTACTCTAAATCTCCCCTCTTTCAATTTAAAACCATTCACCACGTGCTCAGCTGGCAGCAACCAGAGCTCATTGACACAAGTTCTCTGGCTCTCCCTGCCCGCGGGTTTTTGGGGAGGTCAGCAGCCCACAGAGCAGCTGGAGGTCAGGGTAACCCAGTGAGGACCACCTCGCACTCTCTGAGGCAACATCTCCCCAGGGGCAGCCTCACCATCTGTGGAGTAGGCAATTGCCGTCAGCGCGACGGCGTGAGGGTGTATTTTCAGCTCCATCTCTGTCCTGGAAATGCTGAAGACACGGACGGTGCCGTCGCTGTACCCTGCCACCACGTGCTGGTTCTCAGCTCCCCACGCAGCCACGGGACAGGGCTTCCAGGCCAGACACTGGCAGCTCTGCAAAGCAACCAGCAACGACACAGTGAAGACACCAAGCACAGGGAAAGCTCCACCTGCAAGTGTTTCTCCACCTTCAGTCTGCTCCGTGAGGACGCAGCAGTCCCTGCAATCCCAAGAGGAAAAGACTGATGTAGAATCATCATAGAATAGTCTAGGTTGGAAGAGACCGTTGGGATCATCGAGTCTGGAGCACAAGTCTTACGAGGAGAGGCTGAGGGAGCTGGGGGTGTTCAGTCTGGGGAAGAGGAGGCTGAGGGGAGACCTTATCGCTCTGTACAAGTACCTGAAAGGAAGCTGTAGAGAGGCGGGGGTCGGTCTCTTCTTCCAAGCTACAGACGATAGGACAAGGGGTAATGGCTTCAAGTTGTGCCAGGGGAGGTTCAGGTTGGATATTAGGAAACATTTCTTTACTGAGATGGTTGTCAGGCATTGGAATGGGCTGCCCAGGGAGGGGGTGGAGTCACCATCCCTGGAGGTATTTAAGAAACGTGTAGACGTGGCTCTTCAGGGCATGCTCTAGTGCCCAAGGTTATTGGTTTGTGGTGGGATGTTGTGTGGGTGGGTGATGGTTTTTTGGTTTGGTTGTTGTTGTTGTGTGTTTAGGGGGGGGGTGGTGGTGTTTTGTTTTGTTTTTTGGTTTGTTTTTTTTTTGTGGTTGGACTCGATGATCTCTGAGGTCCCTTCCAACCACTACAACTCTGTGATTCTGTGAGTCCAACCATCTACCCTACTCTCCAAAGTCCTCCCCTACACCATATCCCTCAGATAAGCATCCCAGCACCTACGCATCCCTTAAACACATCCAGGGATGGTGACTCAACACAGCCCAAACGATTTTACCTGGTTGAGCACCTGGAACTGTACCACCAGCTCCGTGCTGCCCAGAGACCAGATCCTCAGGCTGCCGTCTTCCCCGCACGTGGCGCAGTGAGTTTCGTCGGGACTGAAGCACACTTCAGTCACCTGCAGCAAGAATGGAGACAGAGAACCAGGGCCCTACAAATGCCACAGCCTGGAGGACATCAGCTCCTCTGCCCTCTCCTCCCCCAGGTCCCCTCTCATGGGGGAAACCAAACAAGAAGCCCCAGACCTAAAGGAAGGTGGGGTGCTTTTGTTTTGCGCTTCAATCTTGGGCTGACAACTAGGCTTGTGATGGAAACCAGGAAACCTCACCCCAAAGCTGGGAGCAGGCACTACACGATGTAGGTGTAAGTAAAATTCCTTCTCTTCCACCGTTTGAAATCTTTTTTTCTGTAGCATGAAGGTACCCCAAAGCAACAGCAAAATTCAAACCAGTCATTCTTCACCTCTTCAGGTGTTTGGTTTTTGGTTTTTTTTGGGGGGGCGGGGTTTAATGTTTTAGGTGAAGAAAATATTATCCTGTGTGAATGTCCAGCCAGAGAAGGGAAGGAGCAGCACTCGGGAACGAAGCTTTTGTGACTGTGAACTAAATTATTCCACTCCAGCAGAAGGGCCAGAGCTGCTCCCGGGAGGAGGCTGCTCAACACCCGAGGCTCGAGCAGACGAGCTCAGATTTCTTAATAATTCTTAATATTTCTCCTTAGGGCGCACAGCTCCCTCTGGATGTGTGTCCCCTCAGCACTAGCGAGCCCTGCAGCTCCCTGATCTCTCCCGTGGCCAGACCAGGGAATGTTTCTGCAGCAGAGATCACACACAGCGCTGGCAGCTCTGCAGGACAAACCACCCCAGCCCAGCCCCTCTAACCTTGTTCTTGTGGCCGCTGATTAGTCGGATGCTCGTGCTCTCCACCCAGTTGATGTACCACAGCGTTCCTGCCGTGGTGCCCACAATTCCCATCTCCAGGGAGTCGTCAAAGGCTGCACTGACGATCGTCCCATCGAGGGTAATCTCGTGTTCCAGCAGGACTGAGCTGGAGCTGGTGGAAAGGAGGATGTGAGAAGGACCAACTCAACTGTCGGAACAGCCACCCTGCCTCCTTTAAATGCAATTTGCTAATGAGCCCAGTCATGGATTTGCAGATAAACAGTTCCACGAGGTGCTCCTGGTACATTCAACAGCGACAGAATTAGGGCGACAAAGATGGTGAGGGGTCTGGAGAATGAGTCTTATGAGGAGAGGCTGAGGGCGCTGGGGGTGTTCAGCCTGGAGAAGAGGAGGCTGAGGGGAGACCTTATTGCTCTCTCCAACTCCCTGAAAGGAGGGTGTAGAGAGGTGGGGGTCGGTCTCTTCTCTCAAGTCACAGGCGACAGGACAAGAGGAAATGGCCTCAAGTTACACCAGGGGAGGTTCAGGCTGGATATTAGGAAAAATTTTTTCCCTGAAAGGGTTCTCAGCCATTGGAATGGGCTGCCCAGGGAGGGGGTTGAGGCCCCATCCCTGGAGGTGTTCAAAAGCCGGGTTGATGTAGTGCTGGGAGGTCTGGTTTAGTGATGGTGATGCTTCTTGTTTGTTGTGTGGGTGTCTATTTTTGTCAGTTGGGTTGACGGTTGGACAAGATGATCTTTAAGGTCCCTTCCAACCTAGAAGATTCTGTGATTCTGTGACACCCGTTACCTTTGCGCTGCAACCGTCTTTTACAGGAAAGGAAGAAAACAGGGGATGCAACAAGTGCCAGAGAAGAAACAAAGGCAATGTATTTTCACCGATTCTCTTTAAAGGAGTTCCTACACATCACCGACACAGACTTCAGGCACGATTGTACTGGAAATGAGCGGGGTTTAAGAGGGTTCAGCTACCTGTGGCAAAAGTTCAGGAAAAAGATCCAGACAGAAAGAATCAGCGGCCACGGGACGGAGAGGAAAAGCTAAGGATGAAAAAGTCCATGAAAAGCCACCTCTCAGACAGGTCCCAGGAGCTGCCAGACGAGGGGAGGAGCGTCTCAAGGGCACGGAGTGTTCTGGAGATGGGGATGGGGACAGCGGGGACAGGGCCTCCTACCTGGCATCGGGACCTTTCAGCCTCAGCTCCTGCACGGCGCCCACTGCCCACAGCCGGATGCGTTTGGTGTTGCTGCCGCTCATCAACCTGTCGTGCCCACACACCAGCACACCTGGGGGGCCACGGGGGAATAAAAGGGCACCCCTGAATATCCACCACTCCCAGCCATCACCCCAAGTGTGCTCCTGACACCCAGGCCACCAATTCCTCTGGGCAGGGCAGCAGGGGTGTTTTACAGCCCATTACCCAGCGTTTTCACAGACTAGAAGTGGACCCCCCCCAGCTCTGATGAGGAAACTCAGGGAAATCCAGACCCACTGCCACCCCACACGTCTTGCATCCCACACAGCAAACTGGTTTTGTGAAATGAGAAGCCCTGCAAGCTCGTTGCTCTTCTTTCCTAACACATTCCCAGGGAATTTGTTACAGCCCTGACATCTGCAGGGCATTTTACAGCCCGAGGTGTCTGCACCCACCGATCTCGCCCTCGTCGGCCGTGTTCCCATGGAATTTGTTACAGCCCTGACATTTCAGGGCATTTTACAGCCCGAGGTATCTGCACCCACCGATCTCGCCCTCGTCGGCCTCCCACGTCATGAAGCAGCAATTGGTCTCGGTGTCCCACACGCAGATCTGCCCTGAGTTGGTCCCGCTATAAAGAAGACCATCGGCACCATAACAGAGAGATGTCAGCTCCACTGGCCCCAGAACATCCGGAGCAGGGGCTCGATGAACCTGCCAGAGCACAGAAAACAGAGACGTCAAAGAGAACACGGTGCTTCTCTACATCAGGAGAAAAACGCCCTCCTTCCACCCTCAATTTATCCAGTTAATGCCTCGAACACAACTGAAAGCCACTCACGGGCAGCCAACATCATCTCACTAGGAGAAATCATCAGCTCTCACACACACATTGGCCCTTGTGGCCAAGAAGGCCAAGGGCACCCTGTGGGCATCAGGAAGAGTGTGACCAGCAGGTCAAGAGAGGTCATCCTGCCCCTTTACTCCACCTTGGTGAGCATTGGGTCCAGTTCTGGGCTCCCCAGTTCCAGAAGGACAGGCAACTGCTGGAGAGGGGACAGGAGAGGGCTACAAAGAGGATAAGGGGACTAGAACATCTCTCTGCTGAGGAAAGGCTGAGGGACTTGGGTCTGTTTAGTCTGGAGAAGAGAGGGTGAGGGGGGATCTGATCAATGCCTATAAATACTTGAAGGCTGGGTGTCAGGAGGATGGGGCCAGGCTTTTTTCAGTGGTGCCCAGGGACAGGACAAGAGGAAATGGGCACAAACCTGAATATAAAAAGTTCCACCTCAACATGAGGGGGAACTTCTTTCCTGTGAGGGTGGCAGAGCCCTGGGAAAGGCTGCCCAGGGAGGTGGTGGAGTCTCCTTCTCTGGAGACATTCAAACCCCACCTGGACACGTTCCTGTGGGACCTGCTCTGGGTGACCCTGCTCTGGCAGGGGGTTGGAGGAGATGATCTCCAGAGGTCCCTTCCAACCCCGTGTGATTCTGTGATTCTGTGACTTGTGTGGGCAGAGCCTCCATCGCGCTCACCAGGGGCTTGGGAAAAGAAGAAGTCAGAGATGCTGAACAGAAATTTTAGAAGAAGGTAAAACTGAGGTTTACCTTGAGCTTGACGTCAGCTCCCTGCTGCTCCAACAGCCAGAACGTCACAGCTCCCTTCCCCACGCAGGCCAGGTCTCTGTGGGAAAAGGGACTAAACGCCACGTCGTGGACTGGCTCCGAGATACAGGTCGAGGAGATGAGTTCGTACGTGCTGGTGTTCCAGAGGGCAATGGTTTGGTCGCTGTAGTCCCCTAGGTAGAACACAAAAGAGAGTCGGAGGAAATTCTGCAGCCTCAGGATATCTGCAAGCAGACACAGAATCACAGAATCACAGAATCTTCTAGGTTGGAAGGGACCTTAAAGATCATCTTGTCCAACCGTCAACCTCACTGACAAAAATAGACACCCACACAACAAACAAGGAGCATCATCACTAAACCAGACCTCCCAGCACTACATCAACCCGGCTTTTGAACACCTCCAGGGATGGGGCCTCAACCACCTCCCTGGGCAGCCCATTCCAATGGCTGCTCCTTCGTCCAGTTGTTTGGAGACAACTGCCATCAACACTGTCCCAGGCACGGACACGGCTCCTCACGTGCTCAGCAAAAGCTGCTGAGGGCAGATAGAACCAGCCCAACGCTTCCTGCTGGGGGTTGGAGCAAATCTGGCCCCGCAGCGGGGTCTGCAGCCGGCGTTGAACCAGCTGGTGGCAGGCAGGGCAGGGATTTCAGCACAGAGCAGGTTTTCTGCTGTTTCTACATCCTTAGGAGCTACTTCACACCCCACACAAGCCCCCCCGGAGATACTCCATCATCAGGGCTAACAATGGTCTTGACACACAAAAGGGATGTCACCTTTGCTGAGCTCAAAGCTGAGCTGGGAGCTGATTGTGGATGGAAGCCACCGTATATTAGGAAAAATTTTTTCACTGAAAGGGTTCTCAGCCATTGGAATGGGCTGCCCAGGGAGGTGGTTGAGGCCCCATCCCTGGAGGTGTTCAAAAGCCGGGTTGATGTAGTGCTGGGAGGTCTGGTTTAGTGATGATGCTCCTTGTTTGTTGTGTGGGTGTCTATTTTTGTCAGTGAGGTTGACGGTTGGACAAGATGATCTTTAAGGTCCCTTCCAACCTAGAAGATTCTGTGATTCTGTATCTGGGTGGTAGCAGAAGGCACTGACCTCGGTGATGGCAAAACATACCCAGCTCCCAGAGAGCTCCTGGGGACAGTGCTCTCCTGCTGCCTTTCCCAGGCTCCACAACCTCAGTGGAGACTTTCAGCTTTTCTCTTCTCAGACCAGAGCTGGAGGAGGAGGAGGAGGGCTCCTCTCCCACGCAGCTCCAGACAGAGCACAAACCTCTTTTTCTCTCCAGCAAAGCTTCCTTTTTTCCAAGGGCAGACTCACCACCCCGGAGAGAGCGTATTGCCTGCTCCGCAGGTCCTCCCTCACCCAAAACAAGAACTTCCTAATTGCATATTTGTCCTTTAAATGTCCCCTGCCTAAACAAAACAGACAGCTTGAGTGTCCATCTTGTGCTGGCATCGCTGCCTGGCAGGAGGCTCGCAGCTTGAAGCCTGGCTATTTCTACACAATTCCACCTCAGAGGCAATCACAAGTCCAGAAAAAAGGCTTTTCCCTTTGGATACTATATATAGTAACTGCAAAGTATTGACACGGGGCTCGACAAGCACTGGGGAGGCAGGAGAAAGCTGTAACTTCTAGAAAAACGAGCCAGCAGGAGCAATGAGAAAGGACTGAAGGGAAGCTGGGGGGAGCCTGGGGCTGAGAGGCACAAGGGTGTGTTTTTCCCCTCAAAACGTTGCCGACAGCGCCCCGGAAGCGTGTTTAGCTGCAAAGGGTACCGAGAGAGGACCTGAGACCTCTTGCAGTTTTAGATGCTGCATTATCCATCATCCCAAGGCTACTGAGCAACAGCTTCATGCCCACGAGCCTGGGACCCATCTCACAGATACCCATCTCCTGCACCCCAGCTGGCGTTACGGGTGCACTCACCCAGGGTGACAAGGAACCTGTCGTCCCTAGAGAACCCCATGGCTTGCACTTGGGTCTCGTGGTGGAAGAGATTTGCTGCACAAAGCCCCTCCTGGACATTCCAGATGCAGATCTGACAATGGGAGTCTCCGCTCCTCTTCCCTGAGGCAGAGGCAAGGACCTAAGAGAACAATATATTGTCACTGAGACCTTGGTAAATAATTAGGGAACGCTTCATTAGTTAGTCTGAGCAATTAGTAGGCTCAAATTAAAGCTATGTGGTTGGCAAATGGAAAAGTGCGTCCAGTGAAAATGAAAAACTGGGTCCAGTTCTGGGCTCCTCAGTTCAATAAGGACAGGGAACTGCTGGAGAGGGGACAGCAAAGGAGCACAAAGATGCTGAGGGGAGTAGAACATCTCTCTGGTGAGGAAAGGCTGAGGGACTTGGGTCTTTTTAGTCTGGAGAAGAGAAGACTGAGGGGGAATCTGATCAATGCTTATAAATACTTCAAGGGCAGGTGTCAGGAGGATGGGGCCAGGCTTTTTTCAGTGGTGCCCAGGGACAGGACAAGAGGAAACGGGCACAAACTTGAACATAGGGAGTTCCATCTCAACATGAGGAGGAACTTCTTTGCTGTGAGGGTGGCAGAGCCCTGGCAGAGGCTGCCCAGGGAGGTGGTGGAGTCTCCTTCTCTGGAGACATTCAAACCCCACCTGGACACGTTCCTGTGGGACCTGCTCTGGGTGACCCTGCTCTGGCAGGGGCTTGGACTGGATGATCTCCAGAGGTCCCTTCCCACCCCATAGCATTCTGTGATTCGTATGTCAGAACAACCTTCTGCTGATGGCAGGAGGGAACGGTGGCATTACCCAGAGGACAGGAGCTGCCACGGAGCCAGCACAAGGCTCCAAACCCACTTACTGTCTTTCCATAACCCCAGGTCTCCACAAAGCAGAGGGAGAAGGAACAGATAAATGAGATTTTAGCCCGTGACATTCCTTTAGCCCAAAGCAACAGACAAAACCCATCCTGGGGCAGCAAGAGCCTCTCCCACCTGGGCATCGTGGCTAACGGCGAGTGTAGAGATCTCCTCGGCGTGGCCAAGCCAGTGATGCTGTGATCCCGAGTGCAGGTCTTCAACCACGATGATGCAGCCACAGGTGTAGGCGAAGAAGCCTGGCAGAGGAGGAGGAAGAGGAGAAGATGGGATGTTTTCATGTAAAGGCTTCACATGCAGCACCCACTACAACCTACGTCGCGATTCAGGAAAGTTCTTTTTTTTCCCCCTCTCAGTAATACGTAAAAGCTGACATTTCTACCCAGCCTGACACATCCTGGCTGTCGGGCTGAGAGCGGAGTAAGGACAAATCTCACGTCCCCTAACCTGGGCAAAGCAAAGCCCAAAGTTGGGCATCACTCCAGCCTAGAGGAAGGAGGAAAGATGGCCTTTGGGAGAGCTTTCCCTTCTCTCTGTCCACTCAAAAACTGAAGCTCGATTCTGCCCCTAACATCTGCTCATAGCAAAGAAGAAGGGTTACTGGATTTTACCAACACCAAGAACACCTGTGTTAAAGCAAAGATTCCAACCCAACAGCTAGAATCACAGAATGGTTGGGGTTAGAAGGGGCCTCAAAGCCCATCCAGTGCCACCCCCTGCCCTGGGCAGGGACACCTCCCACCACACCACGTTGCTCCAAGCCCCCTCCAACCTGCCCTTGAACCCCTCCAAGGATGGGGCAGCCACAGCTTCTCGGGCCAACCTGGGCCAGGCTCTCACCACCCTCACACCAAACAAGTTCTTCCCCACAGCTCAGCTCCATCTCCCCTCTT